TATATATATTATATAATGAAGTATGACTTTCTTGAATTTTAAAATTTTTTTTTGGGGGGGGGGAGCTGACTGTTAACAGTAGGATCTAATCAGGATCTATGTAAATGAAACCTCTTGCTTTGTGCTGCAGAGAAATATAAACATACACATATTGCACATTTATAGAGACTTTCATGCACATTTTCGACACATTTCTTATCCCCTCATACTGTATCAGTACTTAAGTTTTTGCTCCAGTCAAAAGTGAAGGGGTTGGGAACGAAAAGAAACCAACAATCATGTCATTCTGATAACAGGCATATCATAATTGTAGGCTATAATATAGTCATTGAATGTCTGTAAAAAAAATAACCTATCTGTGTGGGTTTCATATTTCGAATCATAGTCAATATAATCTAATACTGAAACTTGAACTGTATGGTCATTTCTAGTAAATAATTTAGTTTGAACTCTTTAGCAATCGGAAGCTTGCATTCATATTGAGGTTGAAGGAACCTTTCAGCATTATAGTGCATTAATTATCTTCTCATGTTTATGTTCAGCAGTGGTCTGAGAAATCTTCCTCGTCTTAATTTTTTAAAGATTAAAATCTGTCATACACCGGAAATGAGTAGTTATAGTAGTTACAAAGTGAACTTATTTTGAAATATACTCCAAAATACCATCTCCTTTTTAAAATCAACATACAGTTATTAAATGCCGCATCTTTGGTTGTGTTCAAAAGACTGGTTATTTGTAACGTACCCTAAAATGTTTCTTTCCTCAGATGTATACATAGTAATACATTGCTGGTATTAGATCTGTAGAGAGAAAGATGATTCTAGACAGCTTTTAGAGTTGGCTATAGCAAGAGTAAGGCATTACAATTATTTACATAGAGATGTTCAGAAATGCCAATGGCTGTACTAATATCATGTTGGGATTCTGATTTTAATGACACATTCAAGGCTGCCTTGGTGTTTTACAGAATACTTACTTTAAAAAAAATACTGACTCCTCTTGCTGAGTAACTTGTGACATAGGCCTAATTATGATGACAGAACTTAGCTGGAGGTAAACTGATACTTTTTGATAGTTTCTTGTTTCATCTCATTTGTGTCTCAGTATCTGATTTTGGAGAACTCATCTTGATGACAGCTAACATTTGAAGTCGACCTAATAAATATACCGTTTTATTTTGATATGTACTGGTGCCATTTGCCATAATGTTAATAAGGTTCAATTATTTTGTAAAACAATTACATTTCTTACTATTAGTAGAAATGCATGCCTACGCGAAAATGAAATGAAAGCTGGGATTATGCCTCAGGATATATATACTGCATATGTGAAAAAAATCTGCTTGTAACTAGTGAATGTTCAGAAAGTAGTGCTGGAGATGTCACAAAAAGAACACATTGAACGTTTACAGCCTGACTATGTAAGATGTTTCTGTGTTGTTAGAAAAATAGGCGTTGTGGAGTATTTTGTCACACATGCTGATATGGTGGCTGTTAGAGAAATTCTATTTAGAAAAAGGGTATCTAGACTCTAGATATCTGTGCCTCTTTCATGCATTAAAAAAAAATTCCATAATGTATTGAAGGCGAGATGATTGAGATAGATTGGTCGCCCAAATGATGTGACTTTTAATACATTTTTCTTCTATTTCTGTACTCCTGTCTTCTGTTCTAACTTCACCAAACATCACGCCTGATTACATAGTAAGCAAGAAAACTATTTATTAATAACCATGGGAAACCTTTCAAGGGCTACTTAATAACAACCCCCCCAAAAAAACCCAAAAAAACCCCAACAACAAACAAACCACCCAGCAACCCCCAAACTGATACGTTAGTATTATTATTATGTTCTTGTAATGTTCCAATGTGTGGTCCCGGTCACAGGTTGTCTAGTTGTATTTTCCTCTTGGTTTTTCCTTGGAAAACAAAGTTTTGGTGCAATATTCTGCCTTTGGTGGGATTTTAAATGATAGGCTTATAGACTTTTGCTTTAGAACAGCTTCAGAATTTGAAATAAGAATCATTTCTGTAAAATGTACTTTCTGTCACTCTCTGATCGATTCATATCCTCCAGGAATATATCTGCACTCGCAGCTGATATTTTAAAAAAAGAAATTAATCTTTATCTCAACTTTTTCAGGCGCAGAATGTTAGGAGTCAGTACCAAGTCACAAATTGACTTTGGAGCCTGGACTGCTGCTGGATATGATGCCAAGGTAAGAAGAAAAAACACATACCAAAAGAAAAAAAAATCAACTTGATTTGTCTTTTCGGGAAAATTTGGTATACACAGGGCTGGGGAGTTTTGTGATCACAAAGATACTTTACATTTTATTTTAATCTTACCTTTCAGACTCTGAATAAATACAACCACTGTCAGTAAGTGCTGCAGAGTTCTCTCAAGTTTAATTGGAATTTGTGGGACTGCCAGACTTTCTTTGGTTTAGCAGGATTTCAGATAGAGGGTCGCTCAAATAGTGATGATTGCTGACGAAATCATGCAGAGTTGAGAAAGCAAACTTTTGGAGTTTTTTTCTCATAGCTTCCTCTTTCAGTCACTGTAATTTAAGCTGCAGGCTGTATGCAATGGACTTTCTCTTTGACATTGTCAGCTTGCCTAATCTGCCAAACAGTCAAACAGAACAGATGAAAGAGTAGAGAAAAGTGAGAATGAAAGCCCAATGCTAAAAACGTAATGAAACATACCACATGCTCATATGTAGGGCCTATGAGACCAATCTTTGCAGAGACAAGAGGCCACGAAGTACAATAGGCTGCAAGACAGACATAGGCTACATTCCCTGCTTAAATGCAGTGTGTATGCCTATTGATCTGTGTCTTCTTCTTCTTTGCATTCCCCTGCTAGATCTAAGCGGAGTCAACTGCTGGTTGTTCAGCCTGCAGTAAAACTGATTTTTACGCATGTGACCGTTTTTTATACTTCAAAGGTCCCCAATGCCTTCGGGCAGCCACATTCCAATTTCGAAGGTACCATATTTTTATGACTCAAGAAGTTTCTCTTTGGGTAAAAATTGATTTTCAATTTTGTCCAGGTGGCGGCTGAAGCAAATTCTGATAAAATACACCCTGACTGACTATGGAATTTGAGGCTAGTTTCATCTTCATTTGGCGAGATTTACTCAGACCTTACATTTTGATAATACAATTTCTAGATTAGTAGGTCTTATAAATTTAAACTATTTAAATTTGAGCCATGAGCACAACACCACTGCATAGTTAGATTACAACATTAAAAATTTTTTTCTCTTCTTTACCTAGATTGCTGAGCAAGAGCTACAGATTCCTCGTAAGAAGATGTTTGCAGAACAGCCCCCGTACGGCCGTCCACCAGCAGAAATTCCCAAAGCTCCTTTCATCGATCCTGAGGACTTTGCTGATAAAATCATCAACACTGACCCATATCCTGAACATATGGCCACCCTCAAGTCAGAATACGAAGCAATGCAGGCCTGGTATGAGCACCAACAGCAACAACAGCAAAACATGCTGGATGAACAGCAGCAACAGCAGCCTATGCTTGCACAGGCATAATGTCAGAGTCCTGAAGCCTTGAAAAAGTGTTCTGGAGGGTTAAAATGTTGTTACTGTGTGCCAGTCTCTTGTGTATATATAGTCAAACCTCTAAATATTCACTGTGTGTGCATTTTTTTTTCCTTTCTGAACAAGGATTTTTTCAGGCCATCAGCTTTTTAAATCTATTGTGCATACTTTTCCTGCTGTCTTACATACCCACCAGCAAAAAAAAGAGAACTATCAATAGTAATTAAGGTTCCAACTTGCAATCATTATCCACTTCTTGTCTTTTGTTATCATGAGCTCAGCGAGGTTCTTTCACTCTCGCCTTGACCTGAGCACCCGACTTAATCACTGTAAATTTCATTGAGCCCAAAGGATGACCTTTACCACTATCTTGTTCTTGATCTTGATTATTGTCAATATAGTGCAACGATGTCCAAGTAGATATTCACAGAGTACGTCTGTGATGAACACCAGATTAATGTAAGGTAAACTTATTGTTGAAGTATCTTTCATCGTCCTTGCAGTAAAACCAGTTTTGCCTTGTTGATATTCAGTGTCACAGTGTACATTAATTAAACTTTTGTGAAGGATCAGTGTCCAACTCAAAAAGGAAATATGATGATAAGGTGGGTTTTTTTAGCATTAAAGTAAAAAAAAAGAAAAAAGCATGTTATCTCAATGAATAATTAGTATAACAGTTATTGTACTCAGGGAAAGAATATGACAGACAAACATATAGGCTACTAAAGACAGACAGTAAATAAGAAGGAACTTCTCACTAACTATTCACTATTCTGAGCTGAAAGTAGCAAAAACACATTTTAGATCTAGAAATATACATAATATACTTTAATCTTTTGTGATTGTCATAAATCATGAACTCTACGTATACTTTTCCCTTCACTTCTTCTTTTTGCCCATTCCCTCCAATTCGCTAGTATCACATGTCAGTATTATTGTTGTTATTGTTACAATTTGTTTTATTCATTTGTCAGTTTGCTCTCATCCCCTTCCCCTATAAAACTAGATGTGCTGTACATGTAATAAATGAAATTTGATTGTGCTGTTTGCAATTTGTACATTCCATCGCAGGCGTGCTGTTCTCATATGACTTTGTATTTCACTAACATGGTAAAAGGACTTTTTTTCTCAGCTTGCTTAAAATGACAAGCAATTTGTTAGCAGAACTATGATACATCTCACATGGTCAAGACATGTTCAGCATTTGGAAGAATAAAACAGTTTTTAAAAGTTCAATGAGTTGTCAAAGGCAAGTCAAATTTCTGTAGCGTCACAGTCTTAAAACAATTGTCTTAGTCATTTTATGTTGAATTGAGAAGTTTAAAAACAGTGATTACCTTAGTCAACTTTACGACGAGCAAAAGTGGAAATGTTTCCAAAATCGAAATTTTCGTACACGAAACAAAACCCAGCCACATCACGGACACAAGACAAGCAACAGTAATTTTTACCATACTAATAACTTGTGTTGAAAACTGAAAAAAACATGAATGAAGGAATTGTGTTATGACCATGACGATGTGGCCCATGTGTTTCTCTTTTATCCTTGTGGCTTCAATCGTTTAGTGGTTAGGCTCTTGGACTTTCACCTGTAAAGTTGTGGGTTCAAATCCAAGAAGAAATCCGAAATTGTGTTCTTGGCAAATGCTCTTCATCAAATTTTCCTCACTTCACTCAGGTGGGAATGGGTATCCAACAATAGGCTGAGAAAGACCTTGTCAGTTTGTTAGTGTTTTAGAGTATGCCATTTGCAGCTTGCACTGTATATATATGATTCCAGGGACGCAGAGAATGTTTCTGAGTGTTCTAGGGTCTTTTGGGGGTAACAATGGTTATAGAGGGCATAGAGCATGCTGTAGAGCATGGATGTGTGCTTTATAAATGTAATTATTATTAGTAGTAGTACCATCATCATCATCATCCAGTGCCAGATCTGCGACAGACATCGGTGATCATGGTTCTCTATTCATTCATTTGCTCGGAAGCTATCAAAAAAGCTACGTTTCCCTGATCTTTCCCTGTTACCCATTTGTTTAGGTTCCCTAAGTAGGTTGTTTTGGGCCTACCCCTGCCTCGTTTGATGTGAGAGCTAGATGTATTAGTAGTATACTATCTGGAAATCCTGGGGTGGTGCTATTGACTGAAGTGTCTTTAGGCCATTCCCAAAGGGGGGACAGTTAACATGTTCTTATTCACAGTAGAATTGTAAATGGGCTGATTCATCAATGTCATGCTCATAACTGTGCCTGAAGTGCAACAGGGAACTGCTGCTTTTTCTTTCCTAATCCTCACTATCGTCATTTTCCTCTACTTCTGTTGTATGTTTGTAAAACTCTTTGTTTTTTTTGTATGTTCACAAGCCAAAATAATCAAGAAAATAGCCCCCTGAATATTTATTGTATTCCCATTTTGGGCAAAACTTAATTATAACTTTTAAACGCACAGTGGAAATAATGGTCTCAAGACTTTGTTTGATCGTCTTGAGTAAAAAAGAAGCACCTCGACACAATAATGGTCATTTAGTGCTGGGAAAAGGTTAGACAGACAGACGCACAGAAACAACAGAGGGAAAGTTAAAAAGTAGGACGTTTACCCTCCAACCACCCACTCAAAATTTTTCAACAGTAAATTTGACCAAAGATGTGAATACATAAACCAGGGATGCCACTCAACTTTTTAAAAAATAGCTGAAAATCCACGCACAAAGTCTCGCTAACATATGAATATCAATTTGAAACCCAAACGGTGTACATAGAAAAGACAAACAAACATAAGCAATGGGAGTACATAGAGAGAAATGACAAACAAACAAAAACAATGGGTGTACATAGAAAGAAATGACAAACGTTTAAAGAAAAATAGATTAGATGTACTTAACATGACAAAATCTTACCTCTAACTTGCATATATTTTTTTTTTCCAACTGTAGATTCTATCCCGATCTCAATAACAGAATAGCGGATCAGGATCAAATACCGGAAATACCGGATTAAAGCGGAAAAATGGCATTCCTGATTAACAGAAGGCAAAGAAGCAGAGATGACAATACTACCAATAGCGTAGTAGCAATTTGGTTTCAAATTTGGCTGTCTTTGTCTAGGCTAGCTTTAAGTGGCCAGGAAATCATATCAATGACTTGATGATTTTAGAAGAGTAAAAAGTCGAGGAAGAAAAACGAGCACTCACAGCAGCTATAAGATTATTAGGAGTTAGCCCTCCCTCACCTTTTTTAGGTAGTCTCCACCAATCCGGTTGTTAGCTTACATAATCAGTGCTTGTGACTGCTTAGGAAAGTAGCCCAAAAGGGGTGAACAGGTATTTCTGTGGCTATGAAACAGTTTTAAGAGTTGCATTTTATGGCTCAAATTTAAATGATGTAAATTTATATATCCTGGGTCTATGGTTGTATTTGACAGCGATGATGTTCCTAAATTACAGAAGAGAAGCTGTGATAAATACATGTACTCATAGATTATGTAGAACCTTTTCCCTTGACAGGACATACCGATACCAATGACACCCTCCAACCACCAGCAACTCTCTGGAGGAACCTCCCACTTTGACACATCATAAATGTCGTACGCCTCCATCCATACATCCTTTAGGAGGTGGAGTTATACGACTCTGCTTATTAGGGCAAACCGGGAAGAGTGTGATACAGCATTTCAGATGGAGATACTTGATGAATAACGTCCCTACACTAGTAACACAGGAATTGAGCTTACATCTCCTGTGTACAATGATGAAGAGCTTCACCATTGCACCACAGATGTTGGACCTTTGATCAAGTTGTGGCAATAGCACAGCATGCTCACAAACTCAAAGGGACAATTGCAAAGAGCAATTTGTTCTTCAGCTATGTAACTTTTAATAAATTAACAAGCTATTTGTAAGACCACGCCAGTGGTCAGAGGGTGCACTACTTCGTTGAGACGGGCTGCAGTTGACTGAGAGTCAGCACAATAATGTCCACATTTCACCAGGAACATATTCCGTCAAGTAACACTAGCAAGAAGCAGACCAAACTGGGGTGCCCATCAAGTGCCAACTGCACAGGAACTGGACTGATCAAATTGCATTTGTACAGCCCACTAAATTTGTGGGAGTTATGTTCACCCATCTAAACACTGGCACATTTATTTGAGTAAAGAGAAGTACACTGACACAGTAACAGTCATCTGGGGAAAAGGAAGACAGACAGACAGAGATAATAGAAGGAAAGAAAAGAAGCAGGACCAACCAGTAGTTCCCTCCATCCACCCCATAAAACCACAGAATAAACAGAAAAAAAACATAGCCAGATAATTGTGTATGGTTTATTCAAGTTTGAAGTCTATACAAATAAAAATAATAAATTGTAACAAATCAGCTATGAGTGCCACAACATTGACGCTGACTGGAACATTGAAATTCATTTATATTAGCTAGCATCAAGAATGAATCAAATTATTGAACCAAAGATGATAACCAGTGCATGTACCATCTAGACACTCACAGCGATAAACTTTTTTCTCATACGCCAAACTCTCACACCCGCACAACCTCACCCAGAATACACATAGCACAACCATCTCAAGCATGTCCCACCTCTCTGTAGCAATACTTATACAAAGGGAGATAACTCAAAACAATATCAGGACATCTGTAGTCTCTCAAACAGGTCAAGTCGATACATCGTAGACAACTGCTGCAAATCCTGGAAGTGTCTTTGCTGCTGTCTGATTTGGTGAGTTACAATACTCCTTCAAAAGACCTTCTTTACCCGTTGGGAAGGAAGTTTTTCACTGCTAGCCATTATTTATTATAGATCTTCGCTGGTCCAGTAATTTCATGGATATACATTTACTAAACCATTGACTCGATACAGAGGTTCACTGAAGTATCATTGTAGTATCAACATTAAAGAGATGTTCACTAAACCATTAACCTCATAATACTCATTAAATTGACGATTAATAAAACTATTAACTTCATATAGATATTCACTCAACCATCAATCTCACATAGACATTTACCAAAGCCAAGTTGTCATCTGACTGGATCATCAAACCACAGAGCTGTGCAGAGGACTTGTCAATGGAAACAACTTTTGATCACAGCGTGTAAGTGTCTCATGATCTGACAGCGACTGCCACAAATCTCTAGCTTGTGCACTATTTTTATTTTCAGGATGACAAAGCAATCGCTGCAAACACTTTATTTTTTTATGTCCCTTTACCGAGAAAAGCTGCCATTATCAGAAACTAGAAGTAAGAAAGAGCAGTTTTCTTCCTCGTCTTGTTCAATATATTTATGACTGGGCTAGGTGAAAACATTGCTACTTTCTGCAGGGTAAGTAATTTGCTCCATATCTTGATCATTCAATCAATGAAATTGCTAAACAGTTTGACAAGCATTGAATGATATGCATTTATTGCTCTTTTGTGAAAACAAACTCAGAACAACCAAAGACATTAACCAACCCACATTGCATAAAGCACTACAGCCACATAGCTTATACTGTCTAAGTCCTCTCACATGCACATACATACACAAACGTCACTTGCAAGCACACACATGACCCAAGCCGCCTGTCTCACAAAAATACACTTATGATAGTTAACAAGATATCACTAACAAAGATATATCTACTGGGGGCTACAGAGCCCCACTGTCTACAGATGCGTATAGAAACCACAGGCTAAATAGGCAGGGCTAATCCGGGATGAGCACATAATAACATCCTACATACATGCACGCATACACATACACACACACACGTGTAGGGTGGATATCTTCCAGCCAACAGATGTCCATAGAGAAACTTGAGTGGCGCAAAGATTTCAGCAATAAATAAGGGGAACAGCATCCAGTGTTGACCACAAGAGCACAGACAAATGTAACAGGCTGTTGGGCTATCTACGAATTCTCCTTTTCCAGTAAGCATCTCCACAGTACACTTCAAACACATGTTCATGTAAGGCTATCTGTATTTTAACTCAATGAAGACGTGCGTTCTGGTTATTCGACAAAGCTTGAAGATGCGCTGTTGGTGGGGCGTAACTATATTATATTCAAACAGATATTTCAATTTTGGTTTCTTTAAATAAAATTTAAAAGGTATGCAATAACATGCATACTGTGAAATATAATACAAATTTGTGTTTCTGATTTGTGTATAATGGTTTGAAATGTACCGAAACATTGCCTTTGCTCTACTGCTGTCTGCTACATCTGTAAAGAGTTGAGCATACAAGGCCAGCAGAGGTGAAGATAGAAGGCTGTACTACACCTCTGTACAGAATCAATCCCAGAGAGTGAAATTTTGTAAAGCTGTGAATATTTGCAAACATTGCTAAATAAGAAAGCAACACTCAGCACTTTAGTGACTGCTTGACTTGATGAAACTTGATGTCAACACACCTGCAGAAATCTAGATAGGAGAGCAAAGTTCACAGTCCACCTACAGTGTTCAGCAGCTTTAATGACTAGACATTTGTTTTCTTTCTCGTCCGATGTTGTACTCTTCAAGAAACCTCTAAGAAAAAAAAAACAATGCTGAAAGCGATGAGATTCATGTTTTTATTTTTGTTGATTCATTAAGGATTAACATCCAGTAACAGTTCAACAAATGCCGAGACCCACTGCATGTTTTGTAATCTTGAGCAATCATAACACTCTCGGAGACACACTGTAACCTTTTTCTCTTCCTACACAATATTTAAAAAACCCTGAAAGAAACCAGGGACAGAAACAAAATAATCACAATCATTTTCTAGTCAGGTTTCTAGTTCTAAACTGTGTTCACATTCGCATTCTAACTAAGATAGGAATTCCCCAGATATGAAGGTCGGTCATAAAGTGAACACACACATCTTGTAAAGTCCATCCCAGTGAAAGGAAACACTAGGCTTACTGAAATGCCATCAAAGTGAATGTGTTGAGAAAGAAAAGAACATATCATTTAAGACAGAGCAAGCATCCACATAACAACTAGGTACCCTGGCTTATCCTGAGGGCATGTGGCCTTCCCCACATTTCACATGACATTCGTGCGCTGCAGCAACTGACAATTTAAGCTGTACACACCAGCAAAATGTGACCATTACGGCACCCACTTGCTGCAAACAACAACTGAACCTGCTGTATACATACATACCAACCTGGCAACCACTCAGACCCTTGTCACAACAGCGGTGCTACTACAGGTTGGTGCACAAGTACCACGACGTCTACCCACAAGTCTACTGCCTACAGTACAACTCACATCCTATGGTGACCTTGAACAAGGTCACAAGACCAATATATCACAGAGGGAGGTGAAACAATGGCCGAGTTTTGATCAAGTTTTTAGACTTCACACTTACTCCTCGCACAGATGAAGGACCCCGAGATAACATCAGGCAACGGCTATTACGTCACACGCCAAATATCTTTCAAGAAGAATATTCCACCATCCCATAAAGATGCACAGCAGAAAGACAGTACACAGATGATGAATAAAAATGAAATATTACAAACACAAGAGAAATAATGACAACTTTGTGTATGGCTAGCCACTGAAAAAATGACTGGTTCGAAATAATCAACAAATAGAAACTTGGCTGTCTGCGAACAGTCTCACTCGTTAATTCATCTTATCAGCACAAACAGAGGGATAGGTGAAACAGGTGGATAGGAATAGGAGAGACAATTTTCTATTCTAAACCCGTTCAGTGCCACCACCCAAGAGTATGGGGGGGGGGGGAGAGGAGGAGGAGGAAGAAAACTGTGTACAGGCAGTGCTGTGCCCATCAGAGTAATTATGGGCAATTATTTCCCCATGCACAGGGCGTATTTCAGTAGTGGCATTGCAGGGGTTTAAATCCTCCACACACTTTTCGAGGTATAAATTGTCCAAACAGTCAAAGAGAGAATGACACTGTTTCTAGACCTGATAACAAAATGGTCACTTTTTTAACCAGTTGGAACAAAAACATGAATGGAGCGTCTGAGGGCTTTTCATCAGCAAAGCCGCCAATTCAACTTTCAACCAAAGAAATCATTTCACACTCAAAGAGTAGAGAAAAACTTTTAAAAGACAAACATGCCCCTAGAGGCTCTGACCAAAGGGTATTCTATAATAACAAAGGGCAAAGAGGAGAGGGAGGGGCATAATTTCTTCTGAGGTGCTGGGTCAAAGCACTCAGTAAGAAATACTTTCATTGGCCGAGTCCATTTCTATTTACATAATTCACAAGAAATAAATTGTATTTCGTTTATATTGAAAAAGATCATAAGCATGCATTGGTCACAAAAAAGTACAAAGGTATGCTGGAACCCATGATTTTTCCCTGTAATTTGCTTTGATACATTTACTGATATAGGTATTTGCGAGGGTAGGTGGAGGAGGGTAGGGAGGGGGTGAACACAACATGATTACATGATAGAAGGGGAGGGGGAAAATGAGGAGGAAAGGGGAATCTCTCCTCATTCTCGACAGGTGAAAGTCATATTGCAGAAGATGTTGTTACACTTTTTTGATGCTAAGATACATTACATAATGAAATAATGAAGCAGAGTTCGGGTGTCTAAGTCAGAAAAACAACGGACAAGTCATCAGTGAACAGCACCTGAAGCAAAAGAATAAACCTCAAGTCTCTTCGAGAGGACGTCAACGATGAGACAAAAAAACCCAACATAACTGTAAAAAAAAAAGATTTTGCGGCCCCAAAGTCGGTTCAGCATGAGAAATCGGAGTACAATAGCGGTACACAACATTCTCTATCTGGGACAGGAGCAGAGACAAAGCCATCCTCCTTGTAACACTTGGTAACGCAACAGAGGGAAGAGTTCACCAACAACCAACAGAAATGGGACAAAAATGGGGGGTAAGCACACAAGCCTTAAACGCCGACACAGAGCACACACACACACACACACACAGACACACATATACACACCAAGAGAGCACAGACCAAATGTGAAGAGACGAAAGAAACATCTCATCCTACACGGAAAGCAGGCCGAAGAGTTTAGTTTCTCTACTTGGCACTAGTCACTACATATCTCAAAGCACGAGGGAATTTAAAGTCTGAGGGAAATAATCTGACGTAATATCTTGGAACATCGAACACTGCTAGCTCCCGACTTTTAGTTCAGATGTATTCCGAGTCTGAGGAAGTCGAAGCTAGAGTCGCAATGAGGAATTCGCCAAATGAAACGTTTGGCACATGTCAAGCACAAAGGCATACGTACATTACAACCATCCATAAAATTAGTGTGATAAAGTTCTCAAAATCTTGAGTCAACACAATACATGTGTCAAATCTCCTCCCAGACAACCACCATTCACATAGGTCTGCCCTCCACGGAACTCAGTCCCAGGACAAACGCAGCCCGATATACTGCACATAAAATACACACGGTTAACAATCATTATTGGAATACTCTCCTCTGCAAAGCATTTGGGGTACAGTGAATCAAATTTTTTTATCTGTGATGAAAAAACACACACATGATGTCAAATAATATGTTAACTTGCCCATAGATTGGTAAATGATGATGTCTGTTCCTACAGGATCATGACAAACAGATGAAGTTCACACTGCTTTGATTTATGTACATAAACAATGTGAGCTAAATGAAAAAAACAAAACAAACCAAAACACCCCAAAAGAACAAAGCACCCAAACAACAACAACAACAACAGAAAAATCAATATCCCCCCCCCCCAACAAAAAAACCCCCCAAAAACCCCAACAGACTGAGTGGCAAAACTTATCACAAATCGTATGACACTTGTAACATTTCTCCATCAGCCATCACCAACAGCAAACTCGATTTCTTCACAGAAATAAAAGTCTATAGCTTTGGTTATGAGCCAGCAAACACAGAACAACAGCAACAAAAACAAAGAAAAACAAAGAAAAACAAGAAAAACAACAACCCTAAAAACAAATAGCCATGTCAGTGTATTCTGACTACTTCAACACAAGCAACCCTTTCTTCATCATACTCTTCAATTCAAACCAAAAAACAAATGTCTACAAAAATGAATCCCAAACAGTTAAACTTCACAGGGGGCACTGAGAATATTCAAAATTAGTCACAAAAACAGTACAAGATTGCGACAACCCTGCATTTGGCACGCGGCCCAACTATGCCCAGCATGCCACAGTGTAACACAACCAGCATGACACATGATTTAACTGTTCTCTTACAGTACCCGTTCGCCTCTACAATATTTTAAAAAATGAAGTTCTGGACAGGAAAATGGGAGCCTCACGGGCACATCTACGACAAGAACCGCACCATGACATTATTCCATACACTTGCATGTCCACAATTCACTAGGGACAGCACAAAAAGAAAAAGGAAACGTTTTATGCCCCCACTAACATGAAACATCAGAAAACAGAGTGAGTATGAGGACAGACATAAAGACGTCGATGATGATGAAGATGATGATGACGACGACAAACACAGATGATGAAGAAAATGATCGATGAGAGATGAGCAGAGAATGGGAATAAGTTAAGTTTGAACAATCCCACACAAAAAAAAACTTTGAGAGAGAGAGTAATCAAAAAGGAAAGCTTCAACAGTCTATACGTCAAAGCTAGATGCATAACGACTTGGTCTGCTTCAGTTGGCCACACTGGCACTCCTGTCTTAACGTCAGATAATCTGAAAGAAAAATTGAAAAAAAAACCTACTGAGCATGAAATGTGCAAAAAAACCTTTGGACGATGCCACAGATGTATCATGTGACTGAAAATATGAATTGAAAATTGCAACAAGAGATGAGGGAGTGGGGACATTTTTCTATAATAAATTGAGTTCCGATTAATCAGGTGCAAGTTCCAACTGCACACATTCAATAAAGCAAACAGCACAAGACTTCCTCCACGCCCTCCTCTTTTCTCCAAAGAGTACCATTATTGAAGTTTTCCTGAGACAATCTGGCAGATTTTCTAGTTTTCTTTAGTATAAGTTTTACAGTATTTTCAAAAGAATTAGGTCATTCAAGTGCTGAAGATTAGAGGTGTTACAAGATAGTAACAAACACAAAAAAAGGAGGAGGGAAAAGGACATCTGGGAGATTGGAGGAACAGCTTCGATAAAAATGTGGACCATCCGCAAGTGCGCCAATACAGTTAACATTCTTATAAAACCTATTTCTATTTAAGAAAATTAAAAGTTTTAAACAAATATTTTAAAAAATTAAATGCTTATCTGCCTTGCTATAGTGAGCACTATATTACAAATACTTGAATGAATCAAATACTAATCTAGCTAAATATAGCTTTGATGCTCATAGTTCATGCATTTGACTTCTTTCCCACCGCGTCTGGCAAAAAAAAAAATCCACCATTACAGAAAAACAAATAGAAAAAAAGGGGGCACGAGAGATTTTACAAAGGAGACTTATCCCGGCCTGATCGCACCTCAAACCCGGCCTCCTGACCTGTCTCACAAAGCTCCAAAGGGGTCATTGACGTTCCCGCCTGCTCCCGGCTGCGGCTGAGGCTGCTGTGGCTGCTGGAAGCCTGGGCCCATCATCGGCATACGTTGCGGAGCTGCGTACATGCCAGGCATCGCCATGCCCTGTTGGGGCATTCCCATCATGGGTTGCTGTAGACAAAACACAAAAAACATACAGAGTTAGTTTTGATAAGAGTCTTACGGCACTTGCAACACAATAAGGTTAGATTAGAAGCATTACAAGAGAGCAACATATGGTCGCCTTTAAGCACAAGGGGGCTATCCCGAAAAATACTGTTTTGAGAAAATCAAAGGTAAAGTTTTTGCCCCTTGTTCAGTTTCTTTGAAATACAAGGAGAGTTTTCTCTATAACCAAACAAATGTACACATCAATGAAACCAAACTTCTCCTATAGGTAGGGCTATGCCCACTTTTGGAGTAGGTCAAGATTTCAGGAAACTCCTGAAATCTGGGTTAGCCTGCTTGTCCTTAAAAGCGACCATATATAAAAAAGAAAGAGGAGAGATCAGGACGATAGATATTTGATAGGAAAAAAGGAGCAACCACACTGGAGCACCCGCCAACCACCTGTTTACACATAGAGAAGGGATCAGTTTGTGGAAGTTCTTTTAGAGCGGGGGTGTGACAGATGAAGAGAGAAAGATCTGAGGGAAAGAAAAGAAGTGGGACCTACTTGTGGCTCCCTACAACCATCTGTGCAAAAGGATGTTCAAGTGAAAGAGAAGTTTACTAACATGATGGTCCATTTTGAGGTGGAAAACAAAGCAAACAATTTGTTGTTGTTATTGATCCATCAACAGCTGGGCTTTCACCCTTCTGTCCAATGCCACAAAGCCATAAAAGCATGTTTGCTTAAGTTGCTGTAACATTCCACAAAAGGTGTTGTCAATGTTAGTGTAATGTATGAATGATGCTATGATATGTATAGCAATGACCACGAAAATCCTTTTTTTGCCAGAAAGTGTTTGCAAATAGGTGCATTTTGTAGCTTTATCTTCACAGAGCATGGAACTTTTTGAATTTTTGAAATCCATCAATAAACAAAAAAGTTACAGATTTTTTAATCAATTAATTTCTGGTACACTTTTATATAATGAAAAAAGCCCAAAATATGGGACGTTCTTTGGTGAGTTTTGAGACAATATTCGTCATAACTCGCTCATTTCTCGGAGTATTTAAAAGAAACTTGGCGACCCAGTACATTTTCTAGTGCAGAATCTAGTCCTGCTTTCAGATTTTTCATAGCTATCCTATTTTTTGAGTTATGAAGACGTTTATAGGTAAAAATGTGGCGGTTTTCGGTGCGTTTTGAGACAATATTTGTCATACCTCGTCTATTTCTTGGAATATGTAAATGAAACTTGGCAGTCTAGTACATTTTTTTATGCAGAATCTAGTCATGCTGTCAGATTTTTAATATCTGTCATACTTTTTGGGTTGTAAAGACATTAACAGGTAAAAAAGTGGCGTTCTTTACAGATTTACAAAGATTATCAGTCATATGTTCTCCCAAAGTCATGATATTTGAATGAAACTTGGCAACATAAAAGGTTCCTCCTTGCCAAGCAATGTTCTGGATCAATTTGTCACAAAAATGTAAGTAGAGAGCTACTAATAAATCCAGTTCTGTACTAGTAAAAGCATGCATACTTTGTTATAGAAAATAAGATCGTCTCTGTGTATATCCATTGTTGGACAGTGTCCTATTGTGTGTTAGATTAAGATGCGTTCAGATAATATAGTTTACAAGTCATGGGAATATTTCGCACGTGTAGGCTACAACTCATACATATTTACACCCCCCCCCCCTTCTCTCTCTCTCTCTCTCACACACACGCGCGCACACACACACACATGCACGCACGCGCACTCACGCACGCACGCGTGAACGATAACAATGTATAAACGGGACTATCTTCCCAGACTGGACTAAATAAGTACCATACTCTTTAATAACAATCTTAATGCCTCACTTTTCCAAACAGAGCACACAGGACGAGTCCAAGTGTGTGCTTTCCCAAGAGGGGGGAATAGGCTTTCATAACGCAAACACAATGCCATACCACTTCTCAAGATGTTTGCTTTTCTGTTTCTATTCTTCTGTCATGCAATCAAGCAAATAAAAATGACTACATATATTGTATTGTGACTAAAATGCAACAAAAACGCAAGTTATCAAGGCCCCCGTTTAGTTTTCAAGTATCCTTCCCCCCTTTCCGGTTCACATAAGCGGGGCCTCGTTTGTAGCGCCCGAGGCGACCGATGGCTGATGACGTCACTCAGTGGAAATTTCCCAGCAGCAGGACGTTCACCCAGAACGCGCAAATGGCTATGTCGCTTTTTCCCTTAGTTACTCCCACATTTTTAAAGATTACGCGAAAACCGCTAAACACAGAAGCTTGAAATTTTAAGGGAATAAAGAAAAATGGTGTACAACATATCAGTCAGTTTGACAAATCACAACTCCGAAAAATCTTCAAAGCGCACCACATCAACCACTTTCGCAAACGTTTTCGACTGCTTCTAGGATGGGTACAATGTTGTCAAACTGCATACTACGAGATTGACCTCTTTTCTGATTGGCTGCCAGGTTTCATTCATATCCATTCACGAGAAGCGGCGTGAGAGCGAGTTGAAGACAACAACCTTTGCGTTAGTGCGTCCCACGCTACGGGGGCCAAAAATCGGCAGAACAAAACGCGCTCGGTGGGCATTGCTAATATGTAAAAATGGGAATGAACTCGGTTGCGAATGTTGAAATAACGATTCTTTAATATCACAATTATTTCCCCTTCTTGATCATTGATAAGTCACATATTGTCTCGTTTTGAATTCACACGAGATTTCAGTGTAAAAGAAACAACAATAAATCAGTTTTCCGGCAAGTAGGCAGGAAACCGGATGTGTTTTCGTATTCTTTACTACTTGTAATCTTTTTATAATGTGAGGCCATATGCAGACGTAACAACTAGGTCTTCTCAGAGGGAGGAGTGTAGTCTGTCATTTAGTGCTGTGTCATGGAACACATGATGATCTACTTTACGTTGACAAAATGCCTTTTTTCTTGAAACTACTGTGAATTTTTAAAAAAGGCGTTTTGTCAGCTGACGGGCAGAGCAGTCTTGGCACCTGACCCTGACATCCAAGACTATCTAGCCAAGATTTGCCAGTTTTCATGATACAGCTCTAAAACCAGCTCTAAGCTATCATTTACAGATTAAAAGGGGAATTACTGTTCTTACCAATCTTTTGAAATTTTGGGCAGTGACGAGCTTTTTCAATTTAACATTTGAATACCAGGTGTCATTAAAATTGTCGGTAGCTTAGATATAAACTGAATTTCCTGAACATGGAAAATTACGAAGAAGATCAAGATATAGATTTTTTAACTTCAAAGAAAGCACATTAAGTGAACACATTGACCAGCCAATAATCTCAGTGCTCCGTACTAATTCCTGGTGAAAAAAACAACAAAAACAAAGATGAAAAAAAAATAAAGTGCTACAAGAATAAATGTGCACTTAGACAGCTATAAGTTTCCAGAAACTCTTACATACCAAAACAATATGTGTGATACAACTCATTTAGTTTTAGTCCTTCTCTGGCTTGAAAATTCACCGGAAATTTATATGAAAAGTGTTTACATCCATTAGACGACCATGAGATGAATCAACTTACCATCATGGGCTGTCCCATGGGGGCTCCCATAGGCTGGTTGTACATCATTGGAGCACCAGGCGCTCCCATTGGCTGCTGAAAAAAAGCAAACAAAAAAATTTTCATAGAATATTGAAAATGACAGACACCAAATGTAAAACGGTAATTTCATAATACCAGAACACCTGACAGGAGTGGGCTATAATGTGATAAGACTGCTGTCGCACTGACTGTATTACCCCTTCATCTCCGACAAGTGCTCCTAGCGGCTCGCGGTCGGAACCGCAAAATTAAAAAATTCCTACAAACTGAAAAAGTTTAACGTGTCTCGCGCGCTCATATGACCTTCTGCAGTTGCGAGCGCCGTAAAACACTTACCAAAAAAACCAAAACAAAACAAAACAAAAAACACCCTGTAGAGTACGTACTATGCCCGGCTGCTGGAAGCCCGGCTGTCCCCAGGCTGCGGGCGCGGCGGGCGTGGTGGACTGGGCTATCGGCTGTCGCTGGAATGCACTGCCACCCGTCAGCTTGCTCTCTCCTTTAGGCTGCCACTGGTGGTCTCTGTAACAACAAGACAAACAGAGAAGATATGAGTCATGACTGATTGTTGGTATGTTTGTTTGAGTAAACTGAAGAACATCGACACAATAATGGTCATTTAGCGCTGGATAAATTAAGTAAGACAGACAGACAGACAGACAGAATCAACTGAAGGAAAGTAAAGAAGTAGGATCTACAGTGGTGCCCTCCAATCACCTGCTGATTGTTAACTTCTCAAATCTAGACAACCCCCCTGAAAAATATGGACCCCCCACGGCATCTGATTAAAGTGAATAAAACAGGAGCAACGCAACATCTAGAAAACTGTGTGACCAAGTGTCAGTAACAAGGAAGGAAACAACACAAGTTGGGCATTCACCAATGCCACCCTGTAATGTGTTCTGCTATCCACGAGAAGGACGTGATCTACTTCATGGGGAATCTTTGGAACAGACCAGTACACAACAATGACTTGAAATCCAAAACAAAACCCACAAGTTGAGGTGAGTGGCGGGTACCACGAGCAACCACAATAGCTACTGCATGTCACAAGGTCTTAGTTTAAGAAAAGCACATCAACGCAACAAGTCATTTTGAATGCAGAAAAAGCAATGCAGACAGAAAGAAACAAACAGAAGGAAAGGATTCAACCATCTGCATGTCATAAGGAACAGATAGGGAGAACAGAAACAGTGAGAAGAAAAAGCAGACCTCACAAAGGCACACTGCCCTCCAAATCTAGCCTCATTGCCACAAGTGCAGTTTTTACTTTTTGTAAGTTTTATGGCACATGCAAAATAATAGCGTCATACAGATGTCGTTGATCAGAGGTGTTACAAGAGAGTTACAAACACAAAAATGAAGGAGTAGAAATAAGGACAATAGATGTTTGATAGGAAAGAAGGAGCAAACCACACCAGACAACCTGTCAACCACCCTCAAATGTAGTTTAAGATAAGACAAAAATACACAAACATTAAACTTACATGTAAAGACGATTATTTTTTTTATAGTAGAGGGTTTTACTGCGCTCGCAACTGCATAAGGTCATATGAGCGCCAAGGGGTGGGTGTCAACAGAGAAGTCTTTACAGGGAATCAAGCTTCGACTGCTCACCTCTCTAGCTTCAACAGCACAAGGTCCGCTTCGACTATCAAGGCACCCCGGAAATAGCAGGTCACAAGAGAGTGACAAACATACAAAAGAAGTAGAGGAAAATGACAATAGTAAGGATCAAGAAAGAAAAAGCAGCAGTTCCCTGTTGTAGATCAGGCACAGTTATGAGCGTGACATGAGTCAGCCCATTTACAATTCTACTCTGCTTGAATGAGAAATGTCCCCCCTTTGGGAATGGCCTAAAGACACTTCAGTCAGTGGCACTGCCCCGGCGGGTACCTGTAAAGACTTGACTGCTTAAACTTTTAAAAATACACATCACAATTCTCTGTAAATTCTTGAAAGAGATGTTTGAACAGTTTTACTTCTGACATAACATTCTCTTGTACCTTTTCAGTGAAGTGTGGCAGCAGAAAATGTTCTATCCCAATAAACCTCTCCTTTCCTTTACCTGTGTAACCCTTCAACTATGACCCATCAACAAAGAGCCAACACCCAAAGCAAATTAAAAAATACAAAGCCAGAAAGTTAACAAGTGTTTTTTTTAAGGTTTTTTTTTCCCGTAAGAGTTTTACGGCACTTGCAACACAATAAGGTCATATAAGTGCCGAAGATTAGAAGTGTTACAAGGGAGTAACAAACACAAAAAAGAAGGAGGGGAGATAAAGACGATAGATGTTTGATAGGAAAGAAGGAGCAAACCACACCAGAGCATCCACCAACCACCCACGTTAACAAGTGTGAAACAGTTTGCACACCATCACTTTTTTGAAAGGATGCACCCAAAAGTACTAGCAAATTGCTACTAGACGATACCATTGCAGTAGCTTTTGTGAGGGCACATCATATGTGCTCGAGCATGTGTGTTTCTTTGTGTGTTCATACATATTTCCATATTATAATAATTTTTAAAAAAGTAATGGAAATAATAATAATATTTGCATTTACATAGCACATATCCACGCTCAACAGCATGTTCTATGCGCTTTACAACTATTGTTACCCCAGCAGACACTCGGAAACCTTCTCCGCTTCCCAGAAAGCATCCAGGGCTAGCTGTGGATTTCAGTAAATCCCACGGTCTCAAGCATTAACAAACTGACAAGGTCTTTCACTGTCTAGAGCCGGGTACCCATTTCTACCTAGGTGAAGAGAGGAATATTCGTGTAAAGGGCCTTTCCCAAAGACACGATGTCAGGCCCCTTATAAATTTGAACCCACAACCTTGTGGCTCCGAGAGCCTAACCACTAGGCCACCAACACCACAATAAGTGCTGGTACGTGTAAGTTTTAGCATAAAATTAAAAGACTATAAACGTTATACACAAGTGACATACATTATTATTCCCTTTTTTCTTGAAAGACTCACTTTTTGAGCTGGCTGGCCCCACCGGAGACACTGAGATTGGTGGCCAGGGAGGCCAGGGAGGAGTCGAGGTCCGAACCTAGGCCCTGTGCCTGAGGCTGATTCGGCGCTGCATGGTTTGGAGAACTCTTGTTCATGGGCTGCAGCACATCGCCAAATGCGTCAAAACCTGGCAGGGGAGACAGTGGATGTTAGTCAACAGATCCACACACTAGACATTTGGTACTATTTCATCATTACCCTTCACTTTTTATGCAAAAAATTTCTCAACTAATTTCTCTTAGCCACTTTTCCCAAATCTAAAAAAAAAAACCATTGACAGGAAGTCAAATACTTACAACAAACTGATGTATGAGATAAAACTCACTTAAAGATCAACGCTGGTATCCTTTCTGTCTGTCAAAACTATAGGTACAACATATTGCTCTTCTTTGTGAAACAAAACAGGATGTATTACAGAAATGGTTATAGTGGGACAGGGTTTGAAATAACAAGTGGATAAAAGTTAGAGTGAAAGTACCATATTTTGAGTTTGGGGGGGGGGGGGGGGGGGAGTGAGGGAAGGTTGGAGAAAGGTGATATTACGTGTTTAATAAATTATGGATATACGTGTAACATACACTACAACCATGGTAAAAACACAGCATGCCACGCCCACAACCAATTGATAACACATGCAGATCAGGAACACATTTTCATCTGTTCTTTTAAGACACACTGATTTTGTTTTAAATCATTAAAATACACAACACAAACAAGTTTAAATGCTCTTTTGTCTTAAAGTGGGTTGAAGGTTTGAACAATATTTAAAAACTAAACATCATAAGTCATTCTCTCCCTAGAAATCCTGAAATCTCTGGGGGCCATTAAAAATCAAGATCAGGAAAAACTCTGCATAGCATAGTCAAGACGTCAAAAACATACGCGCTGTCTATAAAAAGGCCTATAAGTTTGACGTTTTACTATCATTCTTCAAATCCTGGTAGCTATAAAATCTAAAGTATTTTCTTTTATTATAAACACAACATACGCCTCATGTACTTTGAAAAATAAGTATGCTTCAGTTTGAAAAAAACTAAAGATAAGAAAGAAAAATCTAGGGTGGAAAAGATTGTGGATGACAAGAAACAGAAAGTAATCTAATGACAATTTTCTAAAACCACATGAGAAAAAGCAAAGCATTAAAAAAAAAAAAAATCTTTAAAAAAAAAGTTATTCTGTTTATTGCCTTAAAAATAATTTTTTAACTTGTGAAAAGGGCGATGAACAAAAAATTGTGCAGCTCCAACATGCAAACCGACATCACGCCCCTAAAAGAAGTCAATATAGTCCCGAATCCATCCAAAACCAAGGTCAAAGCACCCAAAACATTTTTAAACCATTTTTTGAATATTTTTTGGGTCTCATAAAGCTTATCTTGTAGGCTACAATGTTTTTTTAACAATCGTATTAACTTCAAAGTCTTCATTAAGTCGCCTTAAATGGGCTACTTTCAGTTTTGCTTTTGAGAACGGCCAGCATATGATCTGCAAAATTATGTCTTAATTTTAAGTTAAAGACCTTTGTGCACATATGCATACACACCCACATATGTATGAGCCCACAATCATAAGCTCATACTCACAAACACACATAAAACATACCCCATAAGCATCACAGACACACATAATATACTCTCTAAAAAACATGGGCGCACACAAACACACACACATACATAAAACATACCCCCATAAGCATACATACACACACACACACACTCACACAGATAAACATGTACACATCCACACCACCACAAAACTTCTGAAAAATATTGCTTTCCTTGTTAACACCACGAAACCATAAAAAAAAGACTGGTTTAATGCAACTGTGACATTCAAATATTTTCAAATCAGAAGTCAACATGGTGACTCCAACATGATTTTGTTCAAAACCTTTTACTTTGAAAGCGATAAATGCTATAAACTTTAGTGTGTCTTGATAACTGAGTCCAAAAAAGACTTTTCGAGTATCTTTTAAATCCCAAGTTATTCTGATCTGTTACACTGGATCGGAAACCAGCTCATCAACAAAATAGTTCCCTCATGGGAGTCAAATTCATATCTTTTGCATGCACAGCGAGAAGTTTAACCATTACATCACAGACAATGGCAATCCTAATCATGTCCATATTACTGATTCACATGAGAGTTGTGCCAGGTAGTCCACAGAAAAAGAAAAGAAAGGAACAGAACACATGACACATGTCTATTCAACAGATGCCTCAGTACCTAACTTATCAGTTTCAAAAACACTCAGAACAAGGATATAAATATATATATATATATATGCCATAGTTTATATCACAAGCAAAGTACAAACATGAGGGGAAAAGCCGATAGCTGAGGGAGGAAGCATAATACGATCTAAACTTTTCTAAAGTTCAAATTGAGATTGGAGCTAATCACACATAGTTGCTAAAGAGATACAATTTTAAAAAACTCAACAACAACAACAACAACAATCTAAAAAGAGCCCCTAAGGTAAAAGAAATTTCAAAGAAAAAACTGCAGCATCAAGGTAATATCATGTCTGTGTCCACTACAAAGCACAGTTTCCGACACTACGCCCAGACACAGCACACTAGAAAAACTTAATTAAAGCCTTTGGTTTTCATAATTTAATAATTTTTTTGGAATGTCACAACATAGTGGAATCAGGTGGTTGTCAATTTTTGGGCATATGTAGTCATACATATCATATTACAGTTTGTTTGTCTTGCTTTTGATGGAAAAAAAATCTGTCCATCTTGAATAGTGTTTGAAGGCCTGGTGTCAGAAGTAAAATAAGTAAAAGATGGACGCCAAAGTAAGGGGACTTTCAATCAAAGATTGAGAGTCCTAGGGAACTGCAAATTTACATTTTTTATGCCTTTCATCAAGTATTTTAATAAAATCGCCTCAGAAATTTGTTTTTAATGAATGCAAAAGTTGTTGAGTCAAAAGAAAAAAAGATTCAAAGAAAAAATTGCTCAACAGGTGGAAAATTGTCAGTTTCTATGATATCAATATTTTGATGAGTGCCTGATTTCACCACGATGACACACACATGTAGGTGTTTTTAAGACCCATTGACACAGTTTAGATCATTTAGGAGGCAGGCTTCTGACCTTGCCTCTTGGGGCCAACCCACGCTGAGAGGGATACATCCCATAAAAAAAGACTGAGATACTGAAAAAAAAATGTTTCTCCCCACTCCAGAATCAAGCAGGTCTCCTGTGAGCAACAGCAAAGCACATTATAACTGCTACACCACAAGACACCAGTCAGAAATCTGTGGCATACATTGTTAAACAAAGACTGACATTCCTAATGAGAGACATACTTTCTTTCTCCATATTTATTCTCATAAGCTTTATCTTAAGGGGACCAAACTCAAACAAAATAATTTCTGATGACAAGGATCAGAATCATAATAACAACAGAGGACAACAGAGGATAAATACGCAATGGATGGTAAGACCAATCAACTAGCAAACTACTTAGGGAGGGAGGATGGAAGAGAGAGAGGGGGGGGGGGGGAGGAAGAGAGGGAGAAAACCTAGCGGTTGGCCCTACAGAAAGGATCACATCTCTCAAGCCTTAATGGGGGGTGTCGTGGCTATTAGTTGTCACAGCAGAAAGAAAATACATTACATCGAAAACAGGATAGGAGAATTGCAAAAAGCTGACCACAAAATTTGTTTTTAATAAATTCCTACTCGGCTCTCTAATAATAAGCAATTGGAACCCTGTGTTTTTGTTAAACAAGTTTTCTGTCCCGTTCTAGAAATATTTAATACGGAGGGATTTTTATGTAGTTCCAGTCAGTAACATTTCACTCTTTTCCATCTCTAAATTAATTAAGACAAAGCTATGTAAGCCTCTTCCATTATGCACTTTCCATATCACATAAACAAGTGAAACTGACAATGACCCATGAAGGGGGCGGGGCGCTTGATAAAGACCCAACAAAATCGCAACACGCTGAGAACAGGTGCTAAAAATTGAAAGGGCACATTCCCAGCTTTCAAATGAGATCTAAAAGTATTTTTAAAATAACAATTTCTCATCTGATCTTTTCAACCCTCTGAAAACACATATGGCATTAGCACATCTGAGGGGTAGCAAAGTTATTGACAACAAGTGACTTGTGATGACAATTGTATGGGACAAAATATGAAGAAAAGAATTGTCTTAAATAACCAATTGAAAAAAAATAAATGTCATAAAGTCTTTTATATCAATATGATGCCACGTCATTGGCCATTTCAGGTAATTTAATCAAAATCCAAAATGAGAAGCAAAACAAGCGAACCTGTAGGCACAGCAGGGTATTTGATGTAAAGAGAAGCACGTCAAGATAATGGACATTTTGTACAGGGGAAAAAAGCAAGACAGACAGAGAGACAAAAGAGGGGTGGCAAAGAAACAGGATGTACTTGAAGAAGTCTCCAGTCATCGACACAGCCGAAACAAAGAACACAATGAATGCAGACACAAATTTGACAACACTTTGGGGCACAGAGGAAGGCAAAAAGGAGGGAGGGATTGTGGGCGGAGGTTTGGGTGGAGGGCACAGTAGTGAAAAAAATCTCATTACTTGAGGCAGGGCCTGGGACTACTGGTGAGGGCCCAGCACTGAGGCCTTTGGAAGACAAGAGATGGAGTGCAAGGAACACAGTATCAGTATTGCCATGATAGACATGTAAAACTAAGAGCTGTTCACACAGCAATGCCACAATAGTTTTGTCAAATAAAAAAACAACAACCAAAGAATTTCATGATTATAACCATTTGTATATGTTGTAAAGCTTTATGACTATTTCCTCTAAAAAAAATCAATTATGAGGGAACCAGTTTCTAATAGCCGCAAAAATACACAATGACACTGAAGTGAACGTGCTAAATTTCCTTCAGCTTCTGAGAAGACTCTTTACTCTGTACAGACTACATGCCTTAAAAATGTGTACAAACGCAACCCCTCCCCCCTCCCTGCCCCAACAATTCTATGCTAAAACAGGACTTTTTCAAGAGGTTAATGTGGAAATGCAGCAGTAGAGAAGAGACGACTTTGTCAAATCTAAACTGTGCTCAGTGATGAATCATGGAACTAAAAAAAGAAGACACTGCCAAGTGTGGATGTGAATGCAGTGGCAAGGCATTAACAGACACATAAATACCCCCCTCCCCCTCCAAGCTAAAAAAAATTGGGCCACTCTGGAATACCTAATATCATAGTAAAAAGTGCCCAGCATTCATAAAGGTATCCATGAGCGAAGAGCCCACAATATGTCTTTTTTTTTACCAGCTCTGAAGACTGCTAGATCGCTCACAACAGCAACATATTCAGAGCTACTGAGACACCGGACTGGTGGTGACAGATAGACAGACAGCCACAACTTTCAGATAATAATGAACACAAAGTATCAAACGAAACGTGGAAACAATCAACCAAATACATCCAATATCTTTTTTTAAAGAAGCCTACAGGGAATACAACAACAAGTTTTTAAAAAAGTCTTCACGCTCATTCACGGTGTGGAACATGAACATCATTGTGAAACAATGAAGAAAAAGACTGCCACTTCTAGACAAGCCAAACAACAAAACACAAAGGCTGACAGAGGGACGGACATACCCAACATAAGGAAAAGCTTTGGCTGTGACAAGTGGAAACAATAAACTACTGGCACAGAGGGCACACTCTGCTCTACAAACTCCAAAACTTAAATACTTCGACAACAAAATTTGCTGGAAAACATCTGACAGTCATTGCCTGCAGAACAACATACGACCAAAATTATGAATGATCTGAAGCAATGAACTTCTAAGATTAACAGAACAGAAAGAAACCAGGAAATAACTTCTTCAACAGAAAAAAATCTAAGAAATGAGATGGCCAAATGAGTACAAACGAACCAAAATCTGCAATATGTATATGAAACAAAGGACACAGTGAGCGGCCGACCACAACACACTAGTGACACACATACACACACAACGCGTGTAGAAAGGCACAAGCCAAGCTCTAGCTGAACAAAGAGCTGGCAGGATGTGTGTGAACGGCCACAAGGCAAGGGTACAACAGCGTATGTCTACCGGTACACAACAGCATTCGTCTATCGGTACACAACAGCATGACGATGCGCTCACACACCAAGAGGCATGAAGAGGAAGAAGAGACAGTACCTTGACCTGACAGGTTCGCTTCCTTCTCCGCACCGACCTCGTCTGGAGCCCGCTGCTGCTGCTGCCCCCCCTCCATCCCGTCCCCTGTCATCACGTAACCACTGCCCATAGGGGGCAGGCCGCCAGCTGAAACCATCGCATGTCCAGGAGACACGGGACGGGCTGTGGCCCCTGCTGCGCCACCCATAGACTTGCCCGCCGCGCTTTTCGAGGGCGACATGGAGAGACCCAGGGCCTTGACTGCGTCCTCTAGTCCTGGGCCCGATGGGGAAGAAGAGAGAGAGGCTGCGGGAGACTTCCCACCGCGGGTCATGATACGCACGGGCGACCCACCCACACCCATAGACAGGGACGGGCTACCGGGGGCCTGGGCTCCTATTCCGGCCCGAGCGCTCGCAATGTTGGCCCCTGGTATGGCCACTGGCACGGAGGGCTGGGCCATAGGTTGACCGTAATACTGGCCTGTGCCACCGCTGCTCACCATACCCATACCAGGCATCACAGGGGCGGGGCCACCGAAAAAGCCACCAGAGGGCGATACTGTTGGGGGACCTCCCAGGCCAGCCGGCATGGGAGGCTGTTGTGGGGCGGGTACCCCCGGGCCAAACAGATTGGCCGAATCATCCAAGCCACTGAGAGGGGAGGGGGCCCTTCCCATCAGGGGGCTAGGGGTTCCAAACCCGGGGATGGGAGAGGGGGTCGGGGAGATGTTATGGGATTCCGCGCTGGTCTCAAACTCAGCAAAGGGGCTTCCACCACTAGGGGGCGCCGGGGAGGGCTGCTGCAGCGGGCCGGCTCCAAACTCAGAGGGCAGGCCGGGGGAGACGCTCTGGCCTCCAGACCCGTCCAGGAGGTCGAGAGGTGACGCCAGTTCCAGTCCTAGTGGTCAAGGGAGATGACGGGCACAGAGGCAAGTGCGAGCAAGGAGGAGAAACAGAGATTTCACACACAACATAGCACGCTCAGATCAGAGGAAGCAAAAAGATCACTGGAACTCTCATCTCAGGTCACTTATAATTCGACACTCTGGAGAAAGACCTACTGCCACAGGTCCATAGCACTACATTTATTGGAGGTTCAGAGACAAAATGCAATGGAAGGGGAGGGGGGCAGGAAACTATGAGAAAAGTTAAAAGTAGACGAACAAATATCAAGAGATAAATTTGAAACACAGCATTAAATTCAGTGGCAAACGTTAAGCATATGAAAAGTTTAAATAATAAGCTTGGCAACTGGAATCATAGTAAGTGATTATTCAGTTAAGAAATGGGAAAAATTTAGTGTGCATGAAACAATGAATTACATAGCTTCAAATACATAGAAAGCAAAAAAGTTTAATGTATGAATTGTCGGCTTATTTAAAGGAAAAAACTGCAATTATCAGGGGGTCACTTAAACTCACATCATTGTTGATAGATAAAACTAGCCAGTTAATTTCCATCATTTTTCTCCTGCCTGGCACCTGTCACTCAAAATGAGATGAGAGTCATTGCTACTCTTTACTCATATAAGCCAGAAAATCTCATCTCAGTACTTTAAAACGTGGACATAAAGCAAAGAAACATAATTCTAAACCTCGTCGTTTTATTGTTTCCCCCAAACTATTCTAGCTTAAAAAATCATTCATGTTTACTGAAGCGATTCACTTACATAAAATTTGAACATTTTCTTTTCTTTTTTTTCCATTAAGCTTCCCGTTCACAAGGTACAAAAACCACCGATTATTTTCATATCAACAAAATAACTTCACGACAGGGAAATGCAACCCCCACGGACATGAGTCAAAACACAGGAGATATCTGTGTAATAAATAGAAGGGCAGCGCCCTGACCTCTCGAATAACTGAGGTGAGTATAGTGTGGTGAGTAAATACAGTGCAGGTTGAGTTAAGCTAGTCGCAGAGTGCCTAAAGCCGTACAGGAAGTGCTGGGCGAGATACCGATGGTGTTAGCTGTCAGAAGAACACAACAAGCTCCAGAACCTGTTGTTTGATTTGAGGGGGGGGGGGGGGGAAGCTGCTGTTACTATACCTGGGGGCGCCTTAGCTACTTGGGCAATGCTGGGGGTTGCACCAAATCCTGATCCAGCTGTAGTAGTGGTTGTTGTTGCCGTAGTTGTTGTTGTTGTTGTTGTTGTTGATGTGCACATTGTGTGTGCAAAGTGCCACGGGCATTGTTCACAGACCCATCCAACCCAGATGCATGCACGCACCAACAACCACACAGACAAACACCCCACGCGTACACATACACACACGCACGCACACGCACACACATACGCCCGTGCACACAAACACGCGTGCACGTGCACACACACACACACACACACACACACACACGCGCGCGCACACACACACACACACACATCAACCAGTGGTCAGTCAGTATGGTGGTGGTGGTTGCCATGGCGACAGCGGCCAGTCAGCACAGAGTGTAGACGTGATCAGAGGCAACAATAGCGGCATGCACACACACACACACATGTGGACAGAGAGGGGGAGAGAGGAGGAAAAAAAAAAAGCGAGAACATGCACAGTGTTAGCCCATGTGAGTGAGATATGCTGTATAAGAGACAATGTTAATACATTTTCTAACACATCAAGAGAGAGCAAGGAGTCCCTGTGCTCTCTGATGTTCTGCACAAAATGCCGTCAACCTATTTGTAATTTTCCCTTTTCCTACCCACAACATGTCAGTAAAGCGTTTCAACTATAGCCACATGGCTCTACAGAACTCAGCAAAAATCAATGAATAGAACAAAAATAAAAATTAAAAGTTACTCTTCAATCTGAAAATAGGAGGAGTAAGTTAAGCAAGCAAATTTTCAGTGTGATGGCCTCTCTTCTCAAACACTGGAGCTTAGCGAACCCTAGCTTCCCAAACCAAGGGACCAGACTCTTGCCTGGGCAAACATTCACACAATAACTTGTAACAAACAGACATTGTAACTTCGCACACTATTATAAACTTTTCTCTTCTTTTTGAAAAGCAAAATTTTCACTTTGTCAACCATGCCCTATTTCTTTACAACTTCAAGATCAAACCAAATTAAGTGTAACGTCAGTAATTTCTCAAACGATTGAACTTGAGTAGAAATATCAAGCTGAAATAAATACTGAGGTGGATAAATTCATCTATACATTTCTACATTTATATGAACATAAACCATGTACTTATTGATTCATTGTCTGATAATTCATCTGTTTGGCTCTACAGATGAATATCATCTTGAAGGTATGAAATCAGAGTCAATTTCTTTAGACAAAATTTGACCCTGCCATTCTCAAAGCTACATTTCTCTGACAATACAACTTCCAACCAATGGACTGAGAACAATCATTTCTTTTTGCAACTTGCAGTGCCTGAACAGCCACTTGTCGCTATTTACAGCATACGCAGCGCAACCTATTGTGCAGTAACGCTGACTGACTCACTGGTCCTCTTGTATCAAAATGTTTTCTTTTCTCATCCATTCTCGTCCCTTTCTATGAAAGGATGTTTTTAAAAA